TGCATGGTGGCAGCCTGGGTGAGTGCGGACCGTAGGAGATTAGAGAGAACACAGGGCGGTAAGCAGGCTAACGGCCAAGTCAGCATGAGAGCAGAAGGCAGGGCCAGTACATGCAGCCTGGTTCGACTCCAAAACACCTGAATTCCCAGCAGAATGACCTTAGTTGTAGATCTCTGCACTTTGCCTTTCTTCTATCTGCCCTTCTTATTTCCGGGCCCAGCAACAAAAGGATTGGAGAAGTGCAGGCAGTTAGTGCGTGGTCACAAGCCCGATATCTCTGTGAGGTGGATGGTTAAGTTTTACATTCCTGTATCTATTTTTATGGCTGGGCAATGATTATACTCACCTATGTTAGTTATGTCTTGGGAAACTGAGGCACTAGCTACCAAGCGATTTAGTGACTGAGACAGGACTAGAATCTAGCAGCCTCACCTTGCAACATTCACACCCGTACCTGGGCAGACTCCCACTGCGTTGAACTGGGACTAGATTGGGCTAGAGATAAAATACGCTGTTTCCTGCTGTCCTTTGATCACAATGGCTTCCACTGGAGGTGTGTGCAGCCTAGTGGATACAGCTCTAAAATGGGACTCTGGAGATTTGGGTTCTCTTCCTAGGTCTGTCCCTGTCACACTGGGCTACTTGGGACAAGTCACTTCACTGCTCTGTTCCAGTTTTCTCCACTGTAAAACAGGGGATAGTTTCTTTGTCAAAGCATGGAGACAGAGATATAACTGACGGAGAGTGCTAACAGCAAAGTATTGCAAACTACTTACAAACACTATGCTACTAACTAATGGCTAATTTGGAGAATCCATTTAAAAGTGGGAGAGAGAAAGAGAGTTCATTTTAAAGTGTGAATTAGCAACAGAAATGCTACAGAAGGGGCTTCACCGTGGGTTTATTTGGGGGGCACTCTGCCTCCTGTAATGATGAGCCTGTGACACTTTGAGCACTGAGTCAGCACCAATTCAATGCACTCTGCTCAGGTGGGGCAATATGTTTTATTGCAGTTCATGAAAAAAGCAATAAAAGACTTACAAACCATCAGGCTGATGGTAAACGCATGAAGCTAATAATCAGTATGATAAGCTATCAGCAACATGAATAGGAAACTGAATGGGGATTTGATTTCCTTAAGCTTTTGTTGCTCCTATTCAATTGTGCTAGCAAACCAGCATGGGGCCTGTTTACAAAGAGAAGTTGGCAAAACAAAAGACAGTCATGGTCAAAACTGACTCCGTCAGTTCTATATATTTGCACAAGAGGCCCCTGCGGAAAAAAATGTATCCTGAAACACCCTATTAGGCTCATTCACCTGGAAGTGATGAGTAAAGTGAGGAAGACTTCAAGGCTAACTGGATCCGTCACAAAGAAATTGGTCTGAAACCAAGTAGACTTGAGGAGGCTTCATAGTCCAAGTAAAAGTGGCCAGTGGCACTGCAGAATTGAGCCCAAGCCTTCATCAAAGTTGTGCTTGCCATGAGATGCACACAAAAATGCTACTGTTCAATATGAGCAACAGACAGCTCCCATTGATTTCAGTGGGAATTGAGAATGCCGACTTCCTCGTGAAACGCAAAAATCTAGAACTCAGAGATGATACCTTTAATTAGACCAACTAGGACATTGCAAAAAAATTACCTTTTTCTGCAAGCTTTTGGACTCAAATGCCCTTCATCAGGCTCAGGGAAAATTAAAGATGGTAAAAAGTCCCCATAGTTAGGAAATAAATTTCATTTTTGCACAGAGGAAGCTGGAGATGGAAATCTGTTCCTCTGGGTCCACAAAAGTGTCTTTGTGAGTTGTTCCGATTCTTCCTTGCGGACATGTCAGAGAGCCAGTACGCTTCAGATACCTAGTTACTAGTACACCAGATGAGCAGATATCAGTTTCTTTTTGGTGAAGGCAACAGATTTATACTAGGGCAACTGAAAGGGCCCAATGCTTTTCAGCAGTCTTTGCCATGCCCACAGCTTTTCACAGTTTGTTTGCTAAATGACACATTATAAAAATAAGTAAGTGCAATTGAGACACTGTGTTAATCTCAGAAGTTTAAACATCAGTCTGTAATGACTACTTTATAGAGGTCCGTGGCAAACCACTCTATGGTGCCTGCAGGAGATTTATCCACATGCATATGTTAAAGACTCCTGGGAATTTTCTCACATGGAGAGAAATCTCGCACAGAAACTAAATCAATTCAAAACATCCCTGTCATTCATGCTGTCACAGAAATACCACCCAGAAAGAAGTGGCTTTTACAACACCTGAAGGAGATAAGAAATGCTGGCCAGCATACCAATAAGATGGGGCTTTTGGAAATGCAGAGTTTCCAAACCTGATCATTAGTACAGCTCCTCGAAATGCCACAGAAAAAAACGCTGTCACCTTGCAAAGGAAATGAGGGCTTAGAGGTACTGAGTATAAATGAGATTGCAGAGATACAAGTAGTTTGTAAAGTGCTTTACCAAAATCAAGGGATTTAAAAAACAAATCAAGCCGGAACATACCCAAATTCCATTGACCATGCCTAAGCAATTGCTCACTACCAAGAGAAAAGGGATCATGCAACCTGAATTTCTAACTATATACAAGCCATTATAGAAAACAACCCTTCAGACACATCATAGTTTGGCTGTCAGACCCCAGCAAATAAAACCAAACCAATATACATGACAGAGAGTTACAAAGAGATGATCAGACCCCCGGTTCAACTTTGCAGTCAGGTTCCACTGTAGTGCTGCACATTACGATGAGAATGGACCATCCAGTTTTATCTCATAACTTGCTCAGATCAGGCTTTAAAATTATTGGAAGGGGAGGAAGACAACCCAGCACAAAATGATACAAACACATCCTTCTGGTAGATTGTGCAACGTGCTTCATTCAGTAACATCACCTGTGCTGAGCCGTGCAACACATGTGATGTCAGGAGATTCTGGATCCTCCAGGGTTATCATTATTACAGCATCCTTCACCCATTTGTCAGCAAGCAGCTCTGCTCCCCAGCTGGCTGCTCAGCATGATACCAGGGTCTCACTTCTGATTGGGAAGACCAACAATAGGCTCTCCCCTGAGCCATGGAGCCATGTCCCTCCATAATCAGCTGGCAGGAGGTGGCATAACAATTTGATAGGCATCCTCTCCAGGAGGCTAAAGGTATCCATCAATCATGCTGCTGACACACTAACTCCTAGCTTGCCGAGTCCCTAGACTTTAAGAGCTTTTTGGGTTCCAGACAGCAATAGTGGATCTAGGTCAGAGATAGAGGGAAACAGAAGAACCCATTCATCTTTGATGTGTGCAAAACAGGCCAGAGAAGAAAAACCATGTTAGCTAGGTTTCACCTGTTCTATATTGTCCTCTACATTCAAACATTTCCCTTAGCAAACAAGCAAGTGCAAAGGAGTTTCTATTCCCAGAGACTAGTCTCTGGCCACAGAAGACTTCAGGTCATCCAGAGAATGAGAGGACTTATCTTGACCTGACTGCTCAGGTTAAGAGAGTTCAAACGAACCAAAACCCTTCTGTGTCTGCTCAGCCATTCTAATGCAAGACTGAGATGTAGGAGATTGCTTACAGTGCTCTTTGATAACATAATCACTTCATTATCAATGCAATGACTTGTGTCAGGGGTTGTCCCTAGGCCCTCACAGGTGGTTGAGATAAAGAACTGCTTCACCGGGGGAAGAAAGTTCTACAAGAACCGATTCTCTCCTGCCTGGAAAAGCAAGGTTACAGGTAACAGGTTAACCTACTTGCCCTACAGAAGGTTTTTGTGAGCTCTAGTCCTGCATGTGGGTTGGGAAATGGAATTAAATCCCTAGGGTCACTATTTCAAAAGGGTAAAGAAAGACTCCTATGCCCCTTGGCCTCAGAGGGAGCATGAAACAAGGCTGGCTTACCTCTCTGCTGTCAGATCAGTCACGCCTCAGTTCCTTCTTGCTTTTGGGGTACTGGGCTTCAGCAAAGCCAATGGTATTGTTCAGCCTCTGGTCAAGCAAAAGTCTGAGACAAGTAAAAGCGTGCATCAAAATCCAGATGAAGTGTAAAGCACAGTTCTTGTAGACAGCCTCTTTTGCTGGGTCACAGCTCTCAGGAGGGCCCCTCTATCTTCCCAGCCCTCAGTTCTACCTTCCTAAGGCCACAGTTTTTTGGCCCACTTCCTGTGCCTTGGTTGTAAGGGTCCTCACCCCACTAGGCACAGGGGAGGAATACAAGCCCTCTCACCACGAGAGGATCCAGCCAGCTGACCCTACCCTAATCAACATGTATTATGGGTTTCCAGGGCTGCAGGCTACACTGCCTTGCTTGAATGTCTTTTGCTTCACCCCCACACCACCTGAGAGCTTGTACCTTAGCCCTGCACCCAGCTGTCTGGCTCCCATGGAGAACTGGCCATGAACTCCCTTTTTTCCCCACTCTGAGTCTCTCACTTTACTAAGCCACCTTCCTCCAGCCTGCAGTGGTGTGACCTTCAGAGAACTACAGTTTCTGGTCTTTAAAGCTGCTAACTAGAGCAGAGGTGTTCTGGGCTTAAGCGTGTCTGTGAAGGGATGGCACACCATGTAACAAGCCGTGTATGGGATGAAGTTGAGAACTTTTTTCAGCTGTGTTCAGGAAGCTAAGATAAAGCCTGTTGGTCAGTAATCTTCTTTACCAATCCAAGGAATAACCTGATGCATCAGACTTCAGAACTAGTTTCTGTCTCCATCAGCTTTACCTTCTACAGATATATGGTAGGAAAATGAGAGAAAGTGCCAGTCACTGCAGTAGAGGTTTGCACTAACACTGACTGCCAGTAGGCTGAGGAACCAGCAGAGATCACAGAAAAGAACTGAAATACACTTATAATACACATCTGTGTAATGACTGAAACAACCTATGTCTTGCATGGATTACAAAAAAGCAGCAAAAGCAATCCTAAAGAGTGGGACTCCTGAATAAGATCAATAATAGACTTGAATCAATCACAGGATCAATAGTGAAAAGGTGGTGTTTATTATCCATGTAAATGCACTTGCTCTTCACACAAAATGATTTACACAATACAGGAAAAATTGTTGAAGTTCTATGGATTTTGGTTCTTGGAATTTCCAAAGCCAGATATCATTAACTCTTTTATTGCTGGAGCAGGAAGAAAAAGAAGGAAAATATAAAGCAATGGCACATAACCAAAAACAAGGAGACCATGGAAGAAAGCAGAGATAACTATTAATGTAAAAGATGAATTATTGCAGAATTGTTGCCAATTCTCATGATGTTTGGAGCTCTTAAGCTTCAAGGTCCTGAACTCAGGAAAAAATGCTTTTTTCTTTCGTTTCTCTCCAAAAATATTGGGGAAAAGATTTAAAAAGTGATATCTAAAGACTCATGTGTGAAAAGGTAAGCAAGAACCATTTTTTTTTTAGTAGTTATTTTTAAGTCTCTCTCATGAATGTTGGGGCCCAACTCTTTTTTGGATGCTCCGAGTCAGCAATTCTGTTGCATACCAGTGAAGCAAGAGGAAAACAATTAACTTGTGTGGAGTTTCACTTTATTTTTAAACAGGCATGTGGTTGGTATGTCCCAAGCTTATTAAAGTTTGGGTATGTCAGTAGATGGAAGAAAATACTTAACAGGAAATACTTTATATTCTGAACATGAATGACAAACTCCTTTAAATCAGTTCAATCCCACCCCTACCAACTAACTAAATGCTGCAGCAGATCATTACCAATGGTGATCGAACATAGCAACATTTCAAAAAAAAAATTGTAATTGCTATGCTCGGTCTATGCAAACCACAGGAGACAGAGTTTGAAGAAAACCACGCCACCACAATAGTCTGAAACAGGATCTTTCTGAGAAAAATGCAGTAGTGGAGGATTAGTGCACTTGGAACAGCATGGCATGGCTTGCTCCCATTTGTGATAACCCCATGCTGTTTGGGGAAAAAATAAAGTTCTTTAAAAACAGAGCCATAACATGGACAAAATTAGGACCCAGAATATACCTTTAACATAAATGAAATCAAAACACGTCCTCTCCGCCACCAAAAAAACCCAATAAGGGATAGGATATTAAAGTTTAACACTCCTTTTTGGATATTGTGCTATGATAGTAATGCTTACCTCTAACTTAATGAAGTCTTTGGATTTTAATTTATAATTGCTGGACCATTAGCCACCTAGTCCTGAAAGCTGATTTGAACTTCTTTCCTCCAATGAATATTTGATGAGCCCTATCAGGCACAAGTGAATCATATTATTTCATCAAGACTGAGCTTGCAACCTATAACTGCTGATCAAATCACTGTGCTAAAATGGCATATAGTAATTGTTTTGGAGGATGTATCTAGGCACTTGACTTTATGTTGAGGCAAATGGCTGTTAAGCAGGTGCTGAAATGCAAGACTTGATTTTACAATTGTATGAGTGTAGTGTGTTCTCTGGAAAGAATTGTGTGAGTCCTTCAACATATGTGGAACAGTGAAATTGCTCTGGATGTATAGTGGTAAACATTTCCCTCTCTCTGGACAGCTAAGCAAAGGCAGAAAAAGAAAATATAACAAAATCTGTCTCCTATCTAACCCAATAAGTATCATGTAAAATTTAGGAATCAAAAGATCAAGGCTACAAGCAGCAATTACCAGTTTAGTCTATCCAGTGATTACCAGGCAGTACACGTAGATGGTGATATTATAACACCAGCATTTGTTCCATGTAACATTAATGGACCACTAAAATCATAATAAAATAACGGTGTTTGAAAACATTTTGGTTGAACTCGCATCCTTATGGTTCTTCCACAGTCACATCATGCTGTAGTCTGGGTTTATTGGGATTATGTTCAATCAACCAATCAGCAAGCCAAATCTACAGAAGGAAATGAACATCTGTAAGGTCATGTCCTTATAAAAGAAAGCATTTAAATCCTTTCCATTCCAATGTAAATCGAATCTTTTGGTACAGAGACCGTCTTAAAAGGACTCAAAATTGTGTATCTGGGTTCATTGTAAGCCCTTCAAGTGAACTCTGTTTAATATGTTCTCCTCCATCAGTGTTGCTCTTGAGTGCTGAGCTGCTAAAACTGAATTTTAGGAGATAAATTTTCACGTCAGGGACTATGTCTACATATGCATTTGTATAGGGGCACTTCAGCCCTATCTTAATACCGATAATAATGAGGATTGTATTTAGAAAATGGAGCTACACACAAAACAGACCCAAGTCAATTATTATTATGTCCACTCTACTAACATTAACAACTATTCTAATAAACTGGGCCCTCCATACCAAGCATCACAATCTCTTACACTGTAATTGTCTTCAAATAGTTTACGGATGTCCTTACAAATGTGACATTCTTGTATTTTTAAGCATCCCATAATGTACCTTTTCTAAAAAACTGTAACGGTATTTTAGCAAAACTGCAGGCAACAGGAATACCCAAATTCTAATCCCATCCATACTCTCACTCTGGCCTGAGGCAAATTCACATCTCTGTCTCAAATTCACCATTCTAAAAAGGAGTTTATAACCCTGTCTTAATTCACAGATCTGTTCATCCTTAACCTGTGGATGTAAAGTGATAAGTGCTAGTAAAGTACTTACTGGTCTAGGAAGGGGAGAAATTATAGCAACAGAAGGGAAACGTAGGCAGCATTTAGTGTCAAATACTAAAAGACTGGTTTGCATATAGTTTCAGACAAGTAGAATGCCAAAAGAGTCCTTGTTGGTTAGAGGGCAAGCAGTAACTGAAACAGCTAGAGATTTGAATAATAATGACAATGCTGAAATGTGTGATCAAAATAGTACAACTGGGAGGAAAGCTTTATAAGTACAGAATTTTACAGAAGCAATGAAAGAATAAATATTTCAGGAGAGCCAGAGTCCAGGTGAAGAGAACAGTGACAGCAGATGCACAGACAAGATTATTATAAGGCCAAACATAACCACTGTGACCTAATCTGACCTTTTCTATAACAAAGGCTAGAGGATTTTCCCAAATTAATTTGTTAGAATCTGACTATAACTCCTGGAAAAATAGCCAATCTTGATTTAAAAATCATCAGTGATGGAGAACCTGGCATAAATTGTTCCACTGGCTAATTATCCAGCCTGTTAAAAGTCTTCATCTTATTCCTCATCTAAATTGCTTTAACTTTAGTTTAGGAAAAAATAGTGTTGTTAGGAGACAAGGAAGTCTTCGCAGTCTTTCAGTCTGGGAGAAATGGAAAGGTTTTAGGGGCTGAAACAAAACCTGTTGAGTCAACAGGAGACTTTCCATTGACATAAATGGAATACAAGTCAAAGGGAGTAATTATAACGGATCTAAAAGCTCATTTAATTAATCTGACCTTTATAACAGGTTCAATACATCATTAAAGGCGACTAGATTCACAAGAAAATGTAGGAAGGTTTTCTACAGCCAGTCAAGTTATTCAGCATATATTTTACCCAAAGGGAATGTAGATAATATCACTGAAGGAGAGCTTAACAGTCAAGTCATATGCTAACTAATGCAGATATACCCATATAACCAAGAGAGGCTCTGGCTCTACTTAAGATAAGCAATGAATTTGATATCACTAATTGCAACAAGTATAAAAATGTAGTCTTTCTATGTTAACAACAGTTTTAAAAAGGTACCAAAGCTTCAATGCTTATGGCCTGCTTTAGCAATCTCTCAGAAAGCATTTAATTTCACTTGCTGCACAGTGGTACCAGAGATGCTTTCTTTCAGATTCTTCTCAGCAACAGTAAATACAGGCGGTCAGATAGCTGACAACATATCACAGCTGCCACTTACCTCTGATTTCCAGCAGTCGTACATGCGAGGCTCTCCAATAGCTGCTTTCATTGTTAGAAACAGTTTTCATAGCAACTCCCTACAAAGTTGTTACCTCAGACCTTATTTCATTTAATGTTTAGTACAACAGGCAAAAAAAGAGGGCTGGTACTCAATTTTTGTAGCTCAAATATTATTTTAGTTAGATATGCAGATGGTGGCTAAATCTGTGTAGCTCAGATTGCCTTTTAATCATACCAGAAGAGGAACTTTGCTAGAAATACCATCAGGCACCACAGAATAAACATACTACTGTACCAGGCAAGAAGGCTGTATGACACAGTACCTACCAAGGGATCCGCTGGTTTATGCTTACAAAGGGCAGTGAGGCCAGCTAGTAATGTTGGATTTACGTAGAGGTTCAGGTAATCCTTAGCTGCTTGTCCAACTTGAATTGGTTCCAAAATCACTGGAAAAAAGTTTAATTGTTATAAACAATCTACTTATAGAAAGTGGTAGTTAGCTGTGGAGGTCTGGAGTCACACAGAAGCTTACAGTGTTAAATGATATTCCTTCAAATGTTTAATACACGGTGGATATGTGTTCTTTCTAGCTTATTATAAATAACCCTTAGTATGGCTTCTCTACAGGATGCTCACTGTGGTTCAGAACAACTGCAATGTGTCACCCCAAAAAATTATTCTGGAAGCGATGTAGCTCCTGTGCACTAATTCTGCTGTGATTTTGCACTGATATGGGTGGTTGCACCAGGGAAAAGTCACTCGTACAGGTGACTGGAAGAAGAAGAAGAAATAGAACTGTTTCTTGAAGCCATGTACACCTCACTGGATATTTATCAGGGGAAGGGGACTCGTCGGGGGAAACACCTTCAGTGCTCTGTTACCATTTTGAGAAGGGAGAGTCTCAGTTACCTTAAAAGACTGCAAAAGGTAAAGGAGATGTAAAGGTTTACTTGGTATTCTGAAGAAGAAAAATCCATTGTTTCCAGGAGGAAGATATTCTAACATCCTTTTGACTTAAAGATCCACACTAGGTTTTGAGACATGTTTTTAAATGATAAAAATGTTTCCAACTAAACTAGGCCCCATCCTAAACGTTTGGCTGGAGACAAGTAGGAATGGGAGAAGAACCATATCCTGCCCAAGAGGACTTATTATTTACAGTCTACAATCAATAACATTTTACCTTCAGGAAACATGAACCGAATTTCTCTTTCTGCTGATGAGAATCTGAGACTGCCATGAACCGCATTCCTCAGATCATCTGTCCCATAGATTGCTCTTAAACTAAAAACAAGAGAGAAAAGCATTTGGCTAGCAATCGTAAATCTCTTTCGAGTGTCTACAGTATCACTCGGATTGTAATAAATACAATACATAACATATAATTACCAAAATTCATATTTTTTTATTTTACTTTTTTCTGTTATAGAACCATTAGGCAGCTTATACTTCAGTACTGTATACGAACCAACAATTTTCTGTGACAGACTACGTGTTGTACATTTAAAAATACAGGTGAAAAAAATCTGTATCACACCATTATCTCAAACTGAAAATGAACTGTCCCAAATCCATATGCTTTTTGTACAAAAAAAATGAAATTCTGACCCAGAGAAGTTAATGGCAAATGCTTTCATTGACTACAGTGAAGCCAAGATTCAAAAGAGACTCTATTCTGTATTGGGTTACCTGTCAGGGTGTGTTTCCTTAGCTTTTATGCTGTTTGATGGCCCAATTAGCTCCTTCCAGTAGGAGATTGCACAATGTCTGGCAAGAACCATAGCAACTAAAGGTCCAGAACTCATATATACTGTTAAATTAGGAAAAAACATTTTTCCATATTGGTCTGCGTAAAAATTGCTACATTGTTCTGGGCTGAGTTGGAGCGTTCGTTTCTATAAAATATAAAAGGAAAAAAAAAGCAATATTTAATCAAAAAATGCACAAGTACAAAATTTGTGCTTCTACCAGTACTTACTCTCATTACGGCAGTTCCTAGTATTAGAATATTGAGTTAATCATAGAGTTCATAGACAAGTAGGGCTGGAAAGCATGACCTCAAGAGGTCATCTAGTGAGTCCAACCTCCCTGCCTGAGGCAGGAAAGCTTCAAACAGGGATCCAACCGGTGAGCTTGGCATTATTAGCACCACACACTAACCAATTTTGTCTGTTCTAAAGGACTCATAAAAGTGACAGAGAAGCATTGCGGGATCACATGTTTGTCTCCTAGGATATGTCTATAAAATAACTAGAGGTGTGATAGCAGCAAGAGCACAGATACCAATGCTAGCTTTAAACTAGCTAACAAAGGTACCAACAGCAGTGAAATGCAGCAGCATGGACTTCAGCGAAGGGTAGTAACTCAGGTACCTGCTCAGCACCCCAGGCAAGCCCTGTACAGCACATACTACAATCTATGCCGCTGCTTTAGTTATAGGATAAAACCTAACACAGGTATCACTAGCTATGCTAGAGTCACACCTTCAACTGCTCTGCAATAAACTTTTAGTAACCAGGACATCAGGTCTGAGAGGCGTAGAAGTAAAAACTGCAAACTCACCCTGGGCTCTGACAGCCGAGCTCTGCTCTTTCTGGCTCATGCAGTAATAATATTCTTCAGCTGGAAGTTAGGTGCTAATTCTGTTGATGTTATGTGGCTAGAGCAGAACCCAGTTCATTTTTGCAGAAGTGTATTGATTCTACAGTGTTAATAGCAGGAAAAAAAGCCTCATTTTTTGCCAGAAAATTAGGCAGACACACATTTGAATGCATGCAAGAACTGGTTATGGGAATAATCACTTGTGTAACCATAAACACAGTATAGCATTTTTTCAACCTAATGCATAATACTGATTAGACTGCATATGAGAAGCTGAATGCATTAGCTGTGGTTTATGGTTTAATTATTCAGCTACCTCAATCATTTTTTCTGCAATTTTCCCTTAATTGCAGGCCACTAACTATACAACTGTTCCATGTTTCATTCAAAGTACACATTTTTCAAAATAATTATCCAGCTTGCAGGTACCAAGGGCTAAGGCAATAGGTTCACAGATTATCAGTGGGGACAAAGTAACCATTAGAGGGAGGAAGCACAATAAATAAGAAGAAAATGTACATTTTTTTAGTCTGATCCTATGAGATATGGAACAAACAGTGCCTGTTAACTTCAATGCTGATGTCAATGGGCACATCACAGAAAGCTCTAAGGACCTCCTTGCCTTTCCAGCTCTTCAGTTTTAGCTTTGTGTTGTCTGATGCACTACATATATATTAAACGTTTTGAAGGAAAAATATTTTCATGAGATACTGAAAGGGGAAACTCACAGATGTTGGAGTATAGTTGAGGGGGGAGGCAAACCTAATGTGAAATGAAGATTTCAAGTCCTTACTTAAAGGCTCCTATATATTGGCATAGAACACAATGCTGTGCTTGACACCGACCCTTTTAATAGCTGAACAGTCCAAACAAGCAGAAGAAAAGAAATTACTTGACTGTTAGGCTGTTTCCCCATGACAAAATAATATGTAATAGCTATGAAAGAGTGGCATCTAGTGGCCTATTACTGAAATCCAATTGTGACTCATGATGGCAGACGTGACAGCTAACCTTTACAGCCTGAGTGTTTAACTTGTTATTTCAGAGGACAATGGACAGCACTCAGTGCTTTAGGAAAGATCTGGGGTGGCACGGGAGGGGGCAGTGTCTGTGTGTCCTGTTGAAGTTGGTTCCTACCCTTCCCTCACTGCAGCTCTTGGGACAGCATTGCCTTAAGCTCCAAGAGATCCAATTTTGACTTTATTCTGCTTCCTGCGGACTCCAACACTCTGTGGGTGTGGGGGAGGGAAACAGGCAACAGAGCAGCCAGAGCTACTCTTTCATAGATTTCATAGACATCAGGGCTGGAAAGGACCTTGGAAGATCATGGAGTCCAGCCCCCTGACCGAGGGGCAGGAAGTCAGCTAGGATAAACATCCAAATATTTCTTGAGTATCTGGAGTAGGTGCTTGCACCACCTCTGTGGGGAGTCTGTTCCAGGCCTTGGGGACTCCGACAGTAAAGAAATGTTTCTTTACCTCCCTCCCTTCAATGCAGCGGGTGGCTGCGTGCTTTGCAACTTTTGACAGAGAAGGACAACACTTGTGCAGAATGTTTCTGGATCATATCAGAGCAAACTTTGGTGTTCCTGGGGAACTGCTAGGAGGCTTTTTGCCTTTTAGTGATGAAGCTGATTTACATGCTTCTGTTTTGTAAAGGGGGAAGGTATAAACTGCAGATCATAGCTTGGGGAATATATTTTCAATTCATAGTAAAAATATACATTCCCTTTTAACACAGTTTCTTCTGAAGACTACACGTGAGAGCTTCAAGCAGCATGAACCAGACACCGGGAAGGCAACAACCTTCAATTCCCCTGCAGGTTGGAAGAAGAGCTGTAGCAGGGATGATTTGGAAGCTGACACCAGGAAGTTCCAGGTGCTGGAGGAATTTTGCAATAGCTCCAGGTACACAATGCACCTCAGAGCTGTAAGCAGCAACACTGAGGACATGAGGCTTCAAATAAAGATCCAAGTTCTTGCTGTTCAAATGGTGTCCCTTTATTATTGCACAGAGCACTGCACATGAAAAAATTACTACAGCTAAAGTACACAATTCAATTCTGATCTGGAACTGAGATGAATAAATGCAACAATGCGGATTTAAAACCTTTTTTTTAGAAAACACACTTACAAAATTGTGAGGTGTGCTGATCAGAAAAGTTGCAATATTTAAACGTGCAAGTAGGCAAAGCCACAGACATAAGTGAAAAACTCAATGCCAATTAATGAAATTAAAAAATGTTGTCAAATGCACATGAGCTACTGTAATCTTTAAAAAGTGGTTCCATCTAAATAGTTGCTTGAAACAAAAAACATACCTGTACTTCCTTGTCACTAAATCAGAGTTAAAGTCTATTGACAAAACCAGTGTTTGCCTGCAGTCAGCAAGTCAATTAATATAACCACAGTTACATCAAACATTCTGTTCTACTGCACGCAGCAGAAGCAAAATTACTAGCTCATTTATATTTCGATCTTTTGTTTTGCTGCTGGTGGCAGGTGATGTATAATTAAAGCATGCAAACCGATTTTCAGACATCAAGTTGTGTTTGCAATGCTGGCAGAAAATTCTGTGTTTGATTTGTGAACTAGGAGCATTTTCTATAAAAACCACAGGGACAATAAACATGGAGCATCAGGATGCGTGTGTGTGTAGAATCTGCTATTTTAGGTCACTTTTTTCTGACACTTCACATCAACACTGACAATACACTGGACCTTCCTCCGTGCAGGAACTATTACCTGAACAATGGTGAATCCTGATCTGAGGATTATTTCTTCTATTTCTTCTTCTTTGTCAATGACGTCAGGTTTGATGAGGGCCAGAGTTCTCTCTACGTAAATCTGAGGTTCGGGCATTAACATCTGCATCTCTGCTCGTCTCTTACTGCAAAGAGAGTGTGTAATCATAGTTGGGGCTTGTCTACACAGGGTGTAAATTAGGGTGTCATCAGCAACTCTCACTAACTCTGTGCAGATATAATGACCACCAAGGAACAAGTAGTTTAGTTTACTTTCAAAGAGTGTCCAAACAAGGATTTAGTATGGAGCTGCCAGTGTGCTACAAATGTATGCCCTAGCTTATTATACAGCAAGTTCCCTGCGTAGAAAAGCCCTTAATATAAGCCCTTAAACTTAGTTTCTTGTTAGCTGAACCTGCAGTTCCTTATGTACCAGTATCACTACCTGCTTTGACACGTTGCTCAGAGAATATGAGAGGGAGCGAGTACTGCCATCACACACAGCAAGGGCCAGACACAAAAATCTTCTGAAAAAAATATTAGACGGTGCTACCTCGTGGACGAAAAGACACAGGCTCATTGCAGCCCTTCCAGATAAGCTGGGAAAATTTTGGAGGACTATAATAATCCACGTGTGCAGAGGGGCAACGGCAGAGGGCAAAATCAAGCCCTAAAACACGAATGCCCCTGCCACGTGGTACATATATCACACAATCACGCAATCAATTCAGCTGTCGAAATGTATTGCAAGGTTGTGCCATATATGTACAGCGTGGCAGAGCCCACATGTGCCAAGTCATTATCACACGATTAAAAATTACTGAGCTATAAAAAAAGAAATAAATAAAAGAGCCCACCAGCTATAAAGTTAGTGCTTGAAAACACGTAACGACTCTAGAGCTGGTTTCTATCCAGCTGTAACTTAACTGTGTAGCCAAGCTCTACCACAATCTTCCTTAACAGGGGTCATCTTACTGGTTTTAGAGCTAAAACAATGCAAAATACATTCGGGCTCATAATATTTGGTCAGCAACTGGTCTGGAGGAAATCGGAGAAACAACGTGCAAGGCTGAGCGCCGAGCAGCACGAGGGCCTCGGTGAAGTCCGAGGCCGCGTCCAGACGAGCGCGGCTGAGGCGTATTTGCCGCACCATCACGCCCCGCACGTTCGGCTGTTCTCTGCGCTGTAGGGGAGCAAAACGGGCGTGGGGGGTTTTTTCATCTCCATAACAAAAGTAAAACCCGGAGCGGCGCACGCGAGTCTGCTCAAACCCGGTCCTCCCCACCCCGGGGTGCCGGCGGAGCCACAGACCTGCGCTGGTGTGGAAGGTTTTTGCTGAGCCAGGCAGGGCCAGGATGAATTAAAATAATGAATATATTAAATTGATATATGATTCATTAATAATACATTAATTAATAGTATTAATTAAGCGCAAAGCAAACCCCCGCTCCCGCCCCACGCACCTGCCCTCAGCAGCGCCCCGCGGTTGCTAAGCGACGCGACACCGGCCCGAGGCCCCGCCCCCTACGCGCCGCTGCCAGCCATTTCGGTGTTGCTGCTGCACAGCGACTGGTCACTGGGGAAAAATGAAATCAATAAATTCAAAACAAAACAAAACTCACTGATGTCCCTTTCCTGCCAGCCTGTGCCCAGTCCTTGTTTGGGGGGGTGAGTGTCCCACCACACACAGCAGCGATGATTTCCACCCTTTTATTGCACTGATGTCGTGAAACAAAACAAAACTTCCTTTTCGTTTTTCATCCAGGGAGGGAGGCACGAGGAAGGTGGCGCAGCAGGGCCCATACTAAAAGTTTGCCTAGGAGTCTAGGTACGGAGCTGACCGCCCTCGGCTGCGGGAAGCTTTCAAGCCATCTTTGTGTAGTGTGCGGAAATGAAGGTCGTGGGCTCCCTTTTCTGAGTTTAGCAGATTTAACCATCTCATCATGCAGCAAAATGGGCAGTGGCCTGTCTGCAGGCTGAAACACGGGAGATGAAGCAGGTGGGATCAAAATGAATGGGGGCTGAGAAACGTGGAGTAGTGGGGGGGTGTCTTCAAGCAGCGTTTCTTCACCTGTGGGTCCTCACCCAAAAGTCGGCTGCAAGGATGTATGAAAGGGTTTTTAAAAGTGGATCAACAGGCTTGAAAAATGGGTTCTCCTTTAAAAAGAAGAAAAACGTGGGAAACTGGCTTTGCCTTTTGGCTTTGCAGGCTGGCAGAGTTTCAGCCTACAAAGGGCTGCTTGAGCCCTGCATACCTCATATATACCCCCTGCCCCACATACTGGGGGGGACCAAGACCAGTGGATCCAGAGTGAGGGGCTCTGGGTTGGGACTGGCTTTTGAGGTTTACAAATGGGTCCTCATACAAAAATGGTTGAGAACCTCTGTCTTAAAGGATGGGGGCATCAGTAGCTATTGAGCACGGGAGTTAGGGAGACAGTCTCTGAATCGGAACTTCTTGGATTCTCCCTCCCTGTCAGCATCCACTCTCTGCCACTAGGTACAGGGGACTTGCCAAGATGAACTTATGGTCCAGCTCAGTAAATGGCAATTCTTATGATGTAGCCTTTCCATCCGCACAGCCTTGCCTACTGTATGGATACTGTCTCCTGTTAGACCACGAGATGTCACCGTTGCTCCGCAGAAGTCAGCCTTGCCCTGCAGCTTTTGTTGTCCCTGGAAAATAAAATGTCAAAAATGGCCGTGAGGTGTCTGCAGTGTGTCTGCCGCCCGGCCCAGCTCATCCGCAATGCCAAGGCAAGCAAGGGTTTGTTTCGCTTTTTACAGGAACGGGTTCTTAAAACGAATCTAAGAAACCTACTAAGCTGCCCCCTTTTCAGGTACAGCATTATGAGACCCCTTCCTAGCGCCTTAAAGTCACTGTCTCCATGGAGCAGAATCACGTAGTTCACCAGGGCAAGCAGGGAGATCTGAACCTGGCCCTTGAAAGGTAACAGAGGTTGAAAGTTTTCCACCAGTTTCAGTTTCCAGCCTGAACTGCTTACTTATGTACATACTGTATCTCTCTTCTCTTCCTGTGGCAGGCTGCGCAAGGTATTTCCTGTCCCTAGGCCTACGCAACCTGCCAGCTCCAGGGGAGCAGTACATGGTTTTGTGACACACCAAATGCTTTCGGACTGTATAAAATGATAATATTAAAACATAAAGTGGGATCCTGGACTGAATGCATTTACTCATCTTCTGTTACACTCCATGCAAGCTATTTTATTATTTTTTTAAAAATGCTGAAATCTGCTGCTACATTTCTTGTCGACCACATGAGAACTGTCTCATTTGCCACAAATTTCTGGCTGCAGAATCCTCACCTTAGTTTGCTAAATGTTATTCATGTTCAAGGGTTCTTGTAAAAGGCTAGAAACCAGATAGTTAAAGATATTTAGGTAATTAACACCTGTGGAAATTAGGGTGAATAAAAAGCTATTTTGGTTGATTGATTTTTAACCTCAAATTAAATGTTCTTAAAAACAAACCAACATATTTAGCATTAACATTGAAACTATGGTCCCACATAAAGTATTAAATCCATTTGAATCAAATAAGTATAATATTCAGTCTACCTTTGTGGCTGAAGTTTAAAAAAAATCCCACTGAAATGGGGGAAGTCATTGATGAAGCAGCCAGAATCTGAGTTTGCAGCAGTCCTAAACCATTCTTCAAAGAACTGCACAACTCAGTAGCTCTTTTTACCCATCCAGTTATTGTTGCTGCATGCACAAAATGGGTACTCACACATGCATAGGAGCAGAATTGCCACTGGCGTGCACAGATGCTTAAACTGTAAGCACAGCTGCATTAACAATGTAAGCATATGTTTAAGAATGTGTGAATGCACATTTCTATGGCTACATCACTCCAATAAATGAATTTCTGTTTGAGAGGGTTCCCATTCTTTCTTCCCCGACTGTCTTTTTCTTCCTATGAATTTCTTGATCTGCTTCTGACGGCATTTTTCCTTCTCCTGTGGTTGCTTACAGAAGTTTTCTGGAGGGAGGAGGTTATCTAATTTTAGTTTCCTGAATTGGCAAATCAGAAAGCTAAGACACCTGAAGATTCAACCAATTACTCTGGGCTTTCTCATGCTAGGTTTCACAAGTCTTAGTAAGATGGACTTAACAAATTTGAAGTTGCTTATGTATCAACTGAAAAATATTATTCTTTATTTCCTCCCACACTCTGAGGAAATAAAGAATAATATTTTTCAGTTGATACATAAGCAACTTTTAATAATGTCCAAGAGAGTCCTGTTACTTAAAAAAAACAAAAAACAAAACTAGCCCTACAACATAGTACGTTAGCATCATCAGTATATATTATCACCATGGCCCTTGAGAAAACCTCTCTGGTAACTTCAGGTATGATCCACACCCCACTCTACTCAGTGGAAAGCCTCACATTTAGCTTCAGAGGACTTTTGATCAGGGTCTGACCCATGAATAAATACTGAAGTTACAATTACAGTATAACGAACGTCGGTTGCAGTTCTGAATTCTTCTCTGGGCGTACCTTTGCCGCTCTTCTTATCTGTTAAGAGGTTTAGCTAGCCTTAGTAGTCTTCTTTATTTTTAGCTGCTTGAAATATATACACACTGAAGACTTCTGGCTACAGGTGCGTTCTGGTAACAAAAGACCACCGGTATTATTTTATTATTTTTTAACCACTGGTATTATTTCAGTGCCCTGTACTGTTGTGCAAATGTGGAAAAATTAAGTGGGTGCAGTTTGGTTGACTGTTTTTGAAAAGAGTCTGAGGCAAATCCCATTTTATGTGACAGAATAACAGGTGAAAGAAGAACTAAATGAAGGACAGTGACTAGTGCCAGGGATTACATATTCAGACCATTTCTTCATGCTTGTCTACTGGACAGATCTACCTGCTTTTGGCGGTGAAACACTGAAATCATTTTTATGAATAATAACTCATTGGTCATAAATTTACCTAAATTAAAAGGCTCCCCCACCTTTTGCCTCTGTTGCTGCCACCTATTCCTTTCTGTCTGTCTGCTTCTCTCTGTCCTGCTGATCCACAGCCCTGATGTGCCCCCAGCATCAGCTTCCTTTGCCTCTCAGCTCACTCAGAAGATGCAAAGCAGCTTGGGTGCAAATCAGCAGGCTGATTTCCTCCACATCTACCATCTCTTAGCTGAATAACTCAACTTCCATGCCTACAATTCTAGTGGTTTCTTTGGTACTTTTGATTCCGTCCTCACACTTCCCCTTTTCTGCACAGCAGCTTACCATTTCCTTCTTACTGAAATAATACATGACCTTCCCTCTCCCCGCAGCTTACCTTCTCTAGCCCCTTCACTTGCACCTGTGACCCCTATCCCACTCCATTTCCTTCTTGGCCTTTTGGCTTAGACCAACCTCTTATAGGCTAAGATCAAGTGGGGGCATCTGAATCCCAAGATGTCCAGGCTTGGGTCTGCACGTAGGATGCCTGCTAATGGATTTGGGAGTATCTGAAGTCCCAGGGTGAGGGCCTGGGACGGAGGGTGATGGCCAGTTTCAGCACCATACATGGTGTTTAGAACGATTGACTTCTGCCTGCTCAGTTGATCTGGTTTTTGGAACAGCTGAGTTCTGCTCAATTGATATGATTTGGAACCAATCTGGCTGATTATTTGACCTGGAACATGAAATATATTAATGAAAAAATCCAATTCCATTTCCTGATCTCCCACAAGCTACTCTTGTCCCCTACCTTATTCTTCTTCTCAGTGTCTCACTCTCCTCTGGCTCTTCCCCATTGTGATAGTCTCTCCCACCTTAAATAAATCCACTTACGCCCATAGGTGCCTCTCCTGCTAATGCCTCTTGCCATCCCCAAGCTCAGTAAACCGCTTGTTTACAGGTACTTTTTGGAATGCCTCCCCTTCACTTCCATCCTAGTCCCTCTGCAGCCTGGTTTCTACCCCTTCCGTTCAACTGAAACCCCCTTTTCCCGTGTCTTTTAGAAACACTTCTCTGTCTTTACCTTGACATGTCAGTCACCTTCAACACCTTCAGCCAGGCTCTTGAAATCTTGCCCTTCCTTGGCTTCTGTCTTCTCCTTGTCCTCTTCATCCATTTCTAATAATTTGATCCTTTGGAAGTTTGGAGGATCCTCCACGTCTCTCCTACATCTTTCCGTGAGGTCGCAAAGGGTTCTCTTCTCCTCTCCTCTTCTCTTCGTAGCCTCATCCATTAAAATAGCCAATTGCTCTCTGTGAATTATGTCTAAACTCTAGATCAGGGCTGTACACTGTCCAAGGAGCTAGGGGCCACACACTATGTGGGCCACACCAGCAGGAGCTGTATGCACCAGGGGCCATGCTAATGTGCGATACGGGCCCCTGGCATCCTCCTGCTTCACCACATGTGCAAGCAGCAACCCCACCTCATCTCTCTCCCTGGCTCCAGACTTCCCTGCTGCACTGTGCCGCAGGCTTCTCCAGTGCCATGGGCAGCATCTCCCCATCCCTTAGGATGGGAGCAGGAAGCAAAGGTCAGGGGCAGGCAGGGGACTTAGGCTGCAGCACCGACCAGACTGAAAGTGCGGGTAGTGGCTAGGTGGTAGCCCAGGCGCTGCACATTAACTATGCGGCCCATAGGTTACCAGTTGAATGGCCCTGTTTTAGATATTCTCCATCTGTCAAATCTAAAATCTTGGCCTGCTTCTCTGACACTCCTCTGTGGAGATCTAGCCATCAGTTCAAGATCAACATGGCTAACAAGCTCTTAATCTTCCTTCCCATGCCCTTCACCCATCTCCTCTCTTAATCACTGGATGCTGTCACTACCCTACTTGTCATTCCACCTCATAGCGCCAACATCATTTTCAATTTGGCCCTTGCTCTACTTGGTCTCATATCCAGGCCATACCTAGGTCTTGCACATTTCTTTCCGTGCAACATCTCCAAGATAGGACCTTTATTATCCACCCATGCAGTCAAAACATGTCTGGGCTCTCACCAACTTGTATCTCAATTACTACCATTTTCTTTTCTCTAGTCTTGATAAATGAATGGGGCAAAAGCTCTATTCAAATTACCGCGGGCACATCAATTATCTTCCTAACTCATTGCTCTGACTGTGTCACTCGTCTTTCTTTTCAGCTAGAGCAGGGGCAGGCAATTATTTTGGGCGGAGGGCCACTTACTGAGTTCTGGCAAGCCATTGAGGGCCGTATGACAGGCAGCCAGGTGCAGTTAAATATTAATTTTCTAAATTTTTTAGGGGCCCCGCGGGCCGGATAGAATGGCCTAGTAGGTTGCATCTGGTCCCTGGGCCGCATTTTGCCCACCCCTGAGCTAGAGGCTCCTTGTTTATCACCTCAGACATAAGCTACTCATGTCCCATTTCAAGGTCCTTCTTGGTATTTTTTTTATCCTACTTACAATCTCTCATCTAGCTCCCAAAGGCTAATTCTCACCTCCAATGAATCCCAGGATACCTGGTTCCCTTGCCCACATCAGCTATTTGAACACTTTTCTCCTTTTTCCAGGGCTGCTCTCATG